GGAAACGCACAGGATGTGAGACATTAAAAAACAACAACAGCAAAAAACCTGTCTTGAAAAAACAACCAGCCGCCCAACAGGGTCCCAATTTTATTAAACAAATACAGGTGTCTTCATTCACTCCCTCACAACCGCCTCCCAAGCACACGCAGCTCCTGCGGTGGAGCCTGAGGGGCGGGGTCAGGAAGCCTGGCCCTGACGTTGACATACCCGAGCTGAAGAGGAAAGAGGGACGCGCCTGGTGCCCTGGAGGGACCCCCGCTGCCGGAGGAGGTGGTACCTGAGCCAACACTGAAGGACACTCAGCTGGATGGGGGCGGGGACCTGGAGGCTGCAGAAAGCTCAGCCAGTTTGGGGACAGCAAGTGCCCAGGCAGTGGTCAGGGCTAAACTGGGGACCCGACTGTGACAGATGGGCTAGAGTGGGACCCATCCCCTGTCCCTCTCTCATGACCTGTCAGTTCTGCAAAGGAAGGAAATGAGGGCAAGAAGAACAGGGGTGGTCAGAAAACCCTTCTGTGGAGGGGAGGGCAGGGCTGAGACCTGCAGGGAGAGCGTGGGGAGGGGGCCTGGGTGGGAGAGTGGCCTGCAGTGAGCCACTGTCCTGGACGGGGTTGTCCTTGGGCAGGGTGTTCTGGAATTTTTATTTTTATTTTTTGATGGTGCTGGGGATTGAACACAGGGCTTTGTGCATGCGAGGCAAGCACTCTACCAACTGAGTGATCACCAGGCAACCACCAGCCACTTTCTGGATTCTTTATAGGGCCCCTGTTTGCCTATGGGACTCTGAGGCATCCAGAATCAGCCTCGTCAGCAGTTCTTACAGCCCAATCTTCCCACAGGTGCCAGCGGGAGCTGCCCAAGCACCATGTTCCATCCTGAGGACACGGACTGGTCGACCAGATGCTCTGGGCAGGTCAGAGCCAGCTCTGCAAGGCAAAATCAAGAACCCAGGACAGGGCTGCCGTCCAGCTCAGTGTCCCCCACCTACATGGCACACGTGGCCTCTGCTGGTCCCAGGCACTGAGGAAGATGCCCTTTTGAAGAACCCCTGAGATTGTTACTGAGGGAAAATAAACCCTTTTGCTTCACTCGCTTTTGGTTGAATTTAAAAACCGCAAGTTTTGGAGGTCGCGCAGCTGGGCAATGTATTATTAGCTCCCATTAGCCTGGCTTTAGGGGACTCCTCTGACCGGGTTATGATGCTGATGGTTGCCTAGGTTACCCTTCAGGGACCTCAGGCCACTGCTGCCGAGAACTCTGACTTCACTGAGCCTGCAGGTGTCCCATGGTGGTAGAACGGGAGGAAAAGCCTTCCTGTTGTGCCTGTCTCCTTTGCTGCCTGAATGTGGGTCAGATTTCTGCTCAGCTCTGCATGTCGGCACGTTGATCATTTGAGAAGTGCTCCGCCTGGTGCAGGGGTGATTTGACCCAGCCTTGCCAGGTCTCCTCTCCTGGAAGCTAAAGGCACCAAGAGGGGAGTGGCTGGGACAGCATCCAGTTCTGGGTCACTGGGGTGGTACCTCTCCTTTGTCCCCTGCTCCTCTTTCCCGCCCCCCATAAAGCCCTTTTGCATACCCAAGGGCCCCAAGATGATTGCTGAGGGTAGGGTGCTTGACTCACTGTCGTCCGAGCCGGCTTGTTATTAATAAATAAAACTCTTTGGGGGCTGTAGCTGTGGCTCAGTGGTAGAGCAGTGGTAGAGCACTTGCCGAGCATGGTGAGGCACTGGCTTCAATCCTCAGTACCACATTTAAAAAAAAAAAATAAAAATAGAATAAAGGTACTGTGTCCATCTACAACTTAAAAAAAAAAAAAAGAAAAAGAAAACCTCTTTGTTCTCTTGTCACCTGTCTCCCAAGCCATTGGCTTTCTAGGGTGGCAGCTGACCTTCTCTGGGTTACCAGACTCAGGGCTTGGAGTACCTCCAGCTAAGACACTCTGAATCTATGCTGTTCCCATTTTACAGATGACAGAACTGAGGTGCAGGAGGATTGGGTGAGGGGGCCCCCTTTACATGGGAAGTGGCTGAGTTAGGATTTAAACATGGGTCCACCTGTGCTCTCACACCTGCGCTCTGCTCCCTGGGTCCTCGTGACTCTGTAACCAGCACCTGGCAATTCCCAGCATCTTCTGCATCCTTTACAGAATTGACTCATTCACTCCTGTACCAGCCCCAGGAGGTAGGTTCCCGTGTTTTGTCCAGGAGGAAACAGTCTCAGTGCTAGAGTCTGGGTGTTTCCCAGAGGCCCACCCGTCCAAGGCTTGGTTACCAGCCTGGGGTGCTACCAGGACGTAGTGGGACCTTTAAGGGGCGGGGTCTTGTGGGAGGAAGTCTACATTGGGGATGTGCCCTGGAGAGGACGTGGGGACCCACAGCCCCTTGCTCTCTTTGGTGGCTGGCCACCAGGAGCCGAGTGGCTTCTGCCACATGTTCCCGTGGAGACGTGCTGCCTTGCTAGGGGCCTCCAGGCCGGGCTTTCTCTGAGCTGTGGATCTTGGAAGCATGTAATTTCCTTGTTGATTTTTCACAGCGGCTCACAGCTGAGAATTTGCCTCACATCTTGGATAAGGGTTTTAGTCGTGGTTTCTGAGTTTTGCTGGGACTGTTAAGACACAGGGCTTTGTGCATGCAAGGCAAGCACTCTACCAACTGAGTGATCACAAAACATCTCTTTACAAATATTACTAGGGGAACTTGGATCTCCTGAACCTCTTACCTCACCACGTAAGATGTCTGGTCACTAGAGCCAAGTTTGCAAAGCAAGTCAGGTTAGGTGTTGGAACAAATAATACTATACTTTTATGGAACACAACAGGCAACTTTAAATGCCCTAGAATCCTTTATTTTTCGCAGTGCGGGTACTGAATCCAGGGCTGTGTGTGTGCCAGGCAGGCACTCTACCACTGAGCCACACCCCCAGCCCAGCAAAGATGTTTCCTGGCATCCCAATGCAAACAGTAGGCCTTCAAGATGCTTAGCATCAGGGAAGTCAGGTTCCAACAGGGCTGCAGGCTTAATGACAGGGGGAGGGGTTTTGATGTTGGAGGAGAAGTAAAGTTACCAAATTCTGTTTTCATTCATAAAAAGTGCACATTTAGGGCCAGGGATGTGGCTCAGTGGTAGAGTGCTAGCCTAGCATGTGTGAAGCCTTGGGTTCAATCCCCAGCACCACATAAAAAAAAAAAAAAAAACAAAACAAATAGGGGCTGGGGTTGTGGCTCAGAGGTAGAGTGCTCGCCTAGCATACGTGAGGCACTGGGTTCAATCCTCAGCACCACATAAATATAAAATAAAGATATTGTGTCCACCTATAACTAAAAATTATTTTTAAAAAAAAAATGCACATTTAGGGGCTGGGGTTGTGGCTCAGCAGTAGAGCGCTCACCTAGCATATGCAAGGCCCTGGGTTCAATCCTCAGTACCACATAAAAATAGATAAATAAAATAAAGGTATTATGTTGAGAGCCACAGCCGAAGGGGTCCCAGCAAACTTCCAGCTGCCAGCAAACTTCCAGCTGCTGGCTGATGATTGGCTCACAGCGGCCCCAGCAACATCTAGCTGATTGGCTCCTCTGCGGTGATGCTCATTGGGCTGTTTCCCTGCCCTTTCAGACCACGGAGCTGCTCATTGGGGGACTTTTTTTGGCTCCGCCCACGTGACCCAGCCAATCGGCCTCAAGAGCAGGAGGATTGTGGGAGGTGGAGAGAGGCTTGTGTTGGAGAGAGAGGCTTGTGGAAAGCCGGTGGTGGCAGTTGGGGCTCTGAGGGTTTTTCCTGAGAGGCTGTTTTGTTTGGCGTGTGTGGTTCTAAAAATAAAGTTAGTTTCTTTTGACAAGTGGCTCCTGATTGTGCCCAGCCAGACTGCGGCAGTATTATGTCCAACTACAATTCAAAAATATTTTTAAAAAAGTACACATTTAGATATATACAGAGAGAACCCCCCCAAAACTAGAGGGGCTGGGGTGTGGTAGCTCAGTGGTAGAGCACTTGCCCAGCATGCACGAGGCCCTCAATCCCCAGCACAGTGGGTGTGGAAGACACCAATATTTTGTTTATATTTCTGGATTTTCTTCAACATGCAAGGCAAGGGATAGGCAGGCATAAATACTTTAATGGTAGGATGGACATTTTCTTTTCTTTAATAATTTTTTTTTTTTTTTGTAATAAACAGCTTAGCTGTCTTCATGGTACTGGGTAAGGGGTCTGGAGTGTGACTGAATCTCAGGCTCATGTGTAGAATGGGACAAGCCCACCAGGGTCGCTGGGCTACCTTAGAACCCCAGAGAGTATCTCTCACAGGAACCCTTGGAGTCGGGGACCTGAGGTGTTGGGGCCCACCTGCGGGCAGCTTGGTCCCATGGTTCTGGGTAGGGCAAGTTAGCCCAGCCTTGTGCCCCATCTGCCCTGGGGGAGTCAAGCACCAACTCACGTCCATCCTCTGGTGGGCACTGGGCCAGGAAGACAGTGGCTCCCTGTGCATTGTGCTGGGCTTAGTAGCCCTACGATGGCCCGGATGGACAGCTGCTAGCTCAGTGGCACTGAAGCCGACAAAGAAATGCAAACCCAACGTCCCTGACCTGAGACGGCTTTGAGGGCTGGTCTTGAGGTCCTTGCTCAGCCTGGAGCCCTGTCGCCCTGTGGCTGCATCTCACACTGCATGCAGATGTGCTGGTGCCAAGTCCAGCTGCCCAAGGGCCACAGGCCACTCGGAGTGGGCTCAGCGAGATGAGGCATGTCACACACTGACCCTGAGCCTGGGGCAGGCTTTCTGGTGAGGGGCTGAGCACTTTCTGAGCCAGCCCTGGTGTGGGAGGCCCTTCTTCCTCTCTGCTCACAACCTCTTTGGCTCCTCTTGCCTAGGCTGGCCCAGGTCACCAGTCTCCCTTTCAATAACACCACTGTCACCTGCCACCCCACCCCAGGGGCTCTGCATGGAGGGAGGAGGGGCTCGCCCCATGGAGCTGCGAGCAAACAAGAATGAAGAGGAGACAGCGAGGCACAGTTCAAAGGTTGTTATGTTTTTTGGTTTCATTTTTTGCTTTTGTAAACAAAAATAAGGTCGTGTTTTCTGTTTCCCCGGCCCTGCGGGGTGCTGGGCCACTGGTCCAGGCGGCAGAGCTCCCTGCGTGGAGCATCCTCAGAGCCAGAGACAAGGGCACTGGGAATGGAGTTTGGTTTTGATAGGCAAGAAATAAAATTTAAAAACGTAACATGCCCACCATACAAACGAGGACCAAAAGATGCCACCTCGGTGTTGGAACCCTCTTGGCAGCTGGACTGAGTCCTCACACCACCCCGGCCCCCCAAGTCCAGGGCAGTGGACAGCCCAGGACACAGCATGGGGGCTCCCAGGACAAGAGTGGCGAGGGAGGGAGGGTGAGGTCAGAGTAGCCTCCTTCCCTGTGTTAAAAAAAGTACTAGGAAGCACCCAGAGCTTAAGAAAATCCCCCGGCAGAGAGAGCCGACAGCGAACGCCCTGCCTGGCAAAATGTACAAAAATAAAACGAAACTTTATCCCTGAATGACAGAGTGAAGACCCCTCCGCCTGCTCATGCCCCTCCCCACAGCAAGTCCCAGAATTTACTGAGGCGGCCAATCCCTCCCCCAGTGGCACAAACCCGTGAATCAACAGGCAGACAAACATGCGCGTGGGCCGAGGCCCAGGGTGGGAGGGGACCCCGCACCCAGACCCTGACAGCCCACGTGCTCCTTCCCCCTCAGGAGGCAAGACCGCCACAGCACGGGGGCAGGGTGGGTCAAAGAGCAGTGGCAGGGGCCAAAAGGAGTGGGGCAGAGGGTGGCCAGTCGAGGTGGCCTGGGAGACAAGAGGAACCCAGGTGGGCACAGGAGGACAAAGGGGAAGACAGTGGGTCCCGGGTTGAAAGAAGCCAAGTACCAGGGTGGGGGTGGGGTGGGGTCCGGTCTCCTCTGAGACCTACAGTTCTTGTGGAGCTGAGGACCTGGAGGGCAGCGTGGGCGGGAGGTCCTAGCATACAGGCTGCTTCCTGGGAGGTCACCAGAAGTCACAGAATAGGGAAGTAGGGGGAGGGGGAGAGTCTGGGTGGATAGGGAGGGTGGGTGCTGGAACTGAGCCCTAGGCACCCAATTGCCCACTTTGCCTGAATCCAGCAGAAAGGGAAAAGGGTGGGGCAGTGACCCCGGGACCATCCCAGGGGCTTTCTTCGTTTTTGTGGGGCTCGGAGGTGGCCCCCCATGTCAAGGGAGTACAGTACGAAGATGGGACTTCAGCTGGCGGCAGGGCTCAGGCAGCCTGGCCTCCTGCTGCAGGTTCTGGCGTTCTGCCGGGCAGGTGGACGGCAGGGGGGGCCTCGGTTTCAGGGTCAGAGTGTCAGCACCAAACACACCCATGTCAGCCAAGGGGGTGGCAGGCGAGGAACGTGGCCTCGGACAGTTGGTCAGGTGAGGATCGCGGGTGTCCTGAGGACAGGAACGCATGACCTGGCAGGTCCAGGCCCTGGAGAGGGGGGAGGCACAGTCCCTGGGAGGCTTCTGAGGCCGGCAGTGGTGGAAGCAGATGGCACCTGGGCTCCGCCCTCCAGGACTCCGAAGTTAGCGCAGGCTCTGGTACAGGTAGGCGGAGGTGAAGAGGGCATTGGCGGCCAAGCTCACAGCTAGGAGGCCCCGGACCAGGGAGGGGCCAAAGCGCCCTGTGCAGGGGGAGACACCAGTCAGAGGAGCCTTGGGGGGTCACGGCGGCTGAATAGCACCCAATCCTCCACAAGAGGCGGTTTGTGGGGCCTCAGTGTCCCCCTCCAAAGGTGTCCCTACGATGGAGGACCTCGGCCCTGCCATCCTCCATGGAGCCCTGCCTCCCTGCAGGTGCACCTTTGAGCTCAGGCTGCGCAGCCTGTGCCACGTCCATCCCTGGGCAACGTGGGACGACCACGACAGCAATTTCACAGACAAGGAAATGGGGGTGCGGGTCACCACCTGGCCGGGTCTCAAAGGTAAAAAGCAGTGACTCAGGTCTGTCCTCACCAAGGCCTCACAAGCCACACCCCAGATCTGCCTCACTCAGCTCAATAAAAACCCCGACTGTGGGCCTGTCTGTCCTCCTCTTCACCTGCCCCCCCAGGGGAGAAACCACGTTAACCTCTGCCACGGCCCAGCCAGCCAGTATGCAGAAGAGCCAGCAGCTTAGCACCCTGCTGTGGGTCCGAAGCCTGTGTGCCCCCGTCCACCCCCACACTGTGCCGCCTCGAGGTGCCCAAGCCCTGCAGACCAGCCCCAGGTGGGAAGTCTCTAGTGTCTGCCTGTCCAGCGTGGCAGCCCCAGCCATGTGCAGCTGCTGAGCGCTGGCGATGTGGCCAGTACAGCTGAGGAACCAAGTTTTTTTGGGGGGGGTACCAGGGATGGAACCCAGGGTGTTTAACCACTAAGCCACACCCCCAGCCCTCTTTGTTTTTTTTGAGACAGGTCCTTGGAAGTTGACGAGGTTGGCTTTGAATCTGTGATGCTCCTGCCTCAGCCTCCTGAGTTGCAGGAATTACAGGTGCACACCACTATACCCGGCCCAAGTTCTTAATTTTATTTTAGTTCAGTGAAATTTAAATAGGCACCTGAGGCCACAGACTCATTCGGGAAAGTGGAGGCCTTGACCTGTCCTGGCAAGAAGGGGAGGCCATTTGCTGAGTGCAAACTCCGGATCCAGAGGCTGGGAAGAGTCCACTGGTTGGAGGATGGTGGTACCCTTGAGGGTTCTTTCTCCCAGTGTCACAGGAACTGTGGCTCTAGGCCAGAGCTCTGTACCCACCAGGAGGTGACCTTGCCTTTGGCTCTGTCCCTTCCCATGCCCTCCAGCATCCAGGGAGCAGACCTTTCCAGGCGGCGGCCTCCTCTGAGCACCCTCTGGTGGTGGTGTCCACCACACAGGTGGACGACTGGGATGACTCGTCCTCTTTCTTGATGGAGAGGCTGCTGCAGGCACTGCCTCTCTCTGGCACTGATCGCATGTCTGCAAAGAGAAGGGTGCATGTCTCAGGGGTGCTCACAGCTCACCCCCAGGGACAGATTGGGCAGCTCCACTTCAATTCCAAGATGTGATCCTTGGAAGTGGTGGGCCAGCCTGTCCCAACCCCCTCACCTCCCCTGGGCAGTGGAAGGCTGGGTTCTGGTTCAGACCCTGTTTGTACCCTTGCTGCTTAGCTGCCAGGAGTAGCTGGTTATAGATCAGGTGCCCAAAATGCCCACAAGTGGGACCTCTGGAGGGGGAGGCAGACAGGCAGCCCCAGGGACAGGGGACCCCTGCCTAGCCAGCATTCAGCCCAGCGTGGTTGGAACTTCTGCATTATTAGAGACACAAGAAATCGGTGCGTTTGCGTGGAGTCCTAGAAGCTGAAGCCACACACCTGTGATCCCAGTGACTGGGAGGCTGAGCAGCAGGTACATGAGTTTGAGGTCAGTCTCAGCAATTTGGTGAGACTGTTTGTCAAAAAATAAAAAGCTCTGGGGATGTGGCATAGTGGTTAAGTGCCCCTGGGTTTAATCCCCGATTTAAAAAAAGAAAAAAATTTAAAGGAGCCTAATGTAAAAAAAATTTCTTTTCCCCCACTGTGGAGGATTGCCTTGTACATGCTCGGCAAACACCTTGTGCTGAGCTACATCCCCAGTCCTAGGCACTTTTTATTTTTCTTATTTGCAGCGTTGGGGGGTTGAACCCAGGGCCTCATGCATGGCTAGGCTAGTGTTCTACCACTGAGCTCCATCCTCAACCCAGACCTAAAAATTTTTATTTTTGGTGCTGGCGATTGGACCCAGGAACACTTTACCACTGAGCCACATCCCAGCCCTTTGTGTTTTTTTTAGACAGGGTCTTGCTAAGTTGCTTTGAAACTTGCTACATTGTGGAGGCTGCCTTTGAACTTGCAGTCCTCCTGCTTAGGCTCCCAAACTTCTGGGATTACAGGCATGGACCACCATGTCTGGCCCTAAAATTTTTTAAATGCTTTGCAGTACAAGATCATTTGAGCAAAACAAAAACATCTATGACAAGACACGGCCTGGCTGAGCATGACTGTGTTCAATGGGTCCAGAATGGAGGACCCTGAAGGTCACTTGTAAAAGAAAAACATAAAAACAGCCAGTAGAGGCCAATGTCCTAGGGGTTCAAGGTCACCAGAGCCACTTCACTGGGGAAGTCTGGATAGTGTCCAAGGACAGGACAGCCCCCTTGCAGCACCGATGGCCTCTTGGTGCCGTGTGGAAGGTGAGCTGAAGGTTGCACCTGCAACGTGCTTCGTGCCCCCCACGTACCCACAGTGTGCTTCTTGTCCCGCGTGGGCTGCCTCTGGGGGAGCTGAGGCGGCTCGATGGTGAAGAGGCTGCCATTGTGTGGGGAGTGCTCTTCTGAGCTGCTGGGGGTGTTGGGGGCCTCCCCAGGGGGTGACGGGAATAGCAGCAGCTTCTGTCCCTTGAGGTTGAGCCGGGCGGGGCTGATGAGGGGCCTGCGATGGCGCAGGGAGCCATAGCTGGAGGCCAGTGAGCTGGCCACCGAGGGCACCGGGGAAGGGAGTGGCGAGGTGGGGCAGCTCCCCGACAGCAGAGAGAAGTAATCTGCAGGGAGGGAGGACACAAGAGCAATGACGGCAATGCGGGGATGTGTCACGGCCGCCCAGTCCTGGCGCTTCTCCTTCCTTAACCCAGGACGAAGGGGAAGGAGCAGACGTGGGGGACAGTGGGAGGCCCTGCTGGAACCGAGGAGGGGCGGTCATGGAGCCTCAGCCACCTCGGTTTCTGTCCGAAGCCTGGTACCCCCTTCAGCGGAGAGCAAGGCCCGTGTAGAAGAAGCTCAGGCCTGACTCTAGGTCTGCCAGCCCGAGCACGCTGGAGGCTGGAGCCCAGAGCACAGCTCTGTCCACGGCCGACAGCGCACCCTGATCCTATAACCCACCACCCCATTTCACACCACAGGAAACTGGGCCCGGATGTGGCCTTCTTGCCCAGGGCTGGTGTGAGCACGACTCTGTTGGGTCTCACAGCTCATGCTCAGGGCTACCCCACTCTGGAAACCCTGGGCCACCCTGGCCCCGAGGCAGCTTTCCTGTCCCCACTCTTGGCTCCTGTTCTTCTTACCTGAAAGAGGAACCTCCCCGGGTCGAGACATCCGAGATGGTGGGCGGCTCCCGCTGAACAGGTATCCTGAGTCTGACAGAAAGAGAGACAAACTGCACAAGGCCTGCGACCAGAGCCACCACCTCTCACCCGACCCCAGTGTCCTGCTAACCCACCTGCACTTTCACCCTGCTCTCTCCAAACGCGGGCATTTGAGTGATCCCTCAGCCACCACCCAGGTACCTTGGCATACTGCCATCTTGAAGACGAAGAAACCGGAGCCCTGGTGGGCCACAGGGTGAGCCAGCGGCTGGTTCAGGCCTCCCCCTCCTCATCCCGTGTCCTCCCACACGAGGCCCCCATCTTCAGCCGTCTGGAGCTCCACCTTCCCCACTGCCCTAGAGTCAGCCGCCTGTGTCGGACCCCATGGGACACCCTCTGCCTCCTCCCCAATCAAATGCACCCAGGGCAGGCCCAGATCCAGGATCTCATGTCCCCCAAATGACCTGCTGAGAGCTGTGCGGGAGACCTGGAGGACGCCACAGACCTCGCGGTGGGGACAGACTGCTGTTCCCCTGCCCTAGGAGCTCCGCAGGGTCCATCCCAGTGTCCTGCCAGCCCCTTCCCTTCCAGGCCAGCCCCCGTGCCTGGGGAAGGGTGAACACATGACCCAGCGTGCCCATCAGTCCCCCAGGACCAGGTCTATGGATGCATCGACAAGCCTGGGGCTCAGGAATGTCCTCAGAACAGTTCCCTGCAGGGGGACAGGCAGCAGCCACTTTCCGCCAGCAGCCTGGCTCCTGGCTGGTTACACAGGAACACCCAGAGTGTGGGACTATGTACCAAGGGTCATCACCCTTCACCAGTCCTCTGAAGGCCTTGGACTGTGTCTCCCTGGGGAACGACAGGGTGACCCTCACATGCTCTGGAGCATGCTCACTCACACAGCCTGAGCTTAAGGGCTCAAACCCAATTCTCAGCATCAGAGGGACCTTGGGCAAGTCACTAGGGAGCAGAGGGGCTGACACAGAGCCACACCCCCCTGCCTGGAAGAATTGTTGAGGGGCTTAAGTGAGACTCTCACTGCACTTGACCAAGCCTGTGCCTATAGTTTAGCAAAGAGAAATCAGATTAACCAAGATGCACCCACATTCTGCCTTAAGCTCCCCTGGCACTCAGAAAGCCACCCGCAGGAGACTCCCCTGAGAGTGAGGCTTCCCAAAGTCGAGAGGGGATCATTCAGACACTCTGGGTCCCCGAGCACATTTAAAACTGAATTAATTTACTAGTAACTTAGAAGATGCAGCCGGGAAAGGTGAGGTTGAGACAAAAGTCCTTCATGTCAGGGACAGTTGTTGGTCCCCCTCAAAGTCTGTGAGCAGCAAGTGCTTGCCCAATGTAACTGACCTGAACAGAATCCCTCCCCTGGGGGACACATTTTCCCTTCCCCAGGACTTTGCTTAGAACAGTAGATTTAAGAATAGTAGAAACAGGAGGAAAAGGCAAAAGCCAGCAAGAGCTCACATTTATTGAGGCCCCAGAGTGCCTGTGGCCCTTCCAAGGCCCCTCCGTATACCCCTTCATTTAACCCTTCGACCATGCTGTTCCTGTCCCGTGTTTCGGAGGGAAGCAGAGGCTGGGCGGGGTTGAGGCCGAGGGCAGCTGCTGAGCAGGCCCATCCTGTCCTTACCAGACCCCAGTGCAGCTGTCCCTGGCCTGCGCCTGCCCACCAATGCAGACACGCATGCCACTTACCTGCTCGAGTCAGAGAGGGAATGGTTCCCAGTGAGAGGGCCCGGCGGAGGCGGCCTGGCAGTGAGGAGGGCGAGGCCCGACGGGGAGACCGGAACAGTTGCTGGTTGGCGAGTGGCAGGAAGCCGGGCGGGGTGGGGATGAACAGGGATGGTGAGGAGCCGGTGACGCTCGGGTGCGGCACGGCCAGGCTGGGGCCGGAGGGGAAAAGGCCGGCAGAGTCTCCAGGGAAGCACCTGCAAGGGCCCATTGGGCACCGAGAGAGGAAGAGGGTGAGCCTGGAAGGTTCTGGAGGCAGCCTGCCCAGCAAGGGCCCATGCCCTGTCCCAGGGTATGAGGGGGCCTTAGTTGGGGTCCCACAGGAGGCGTGCATTAGTTAAAGCAGGAAAGCAGTCGTCCATTTGCGCCATTAGGAGCAGGTGGCTGAGAGGTGGCAGCATGACTCCCCCCACCCTGCATGCCCCTCCAACCCCTCAGGCTCACAGCAAACTACTTCCACTACAAGTCTCAGCATTAAAGTGACACTGTCGCCCTTGCTGACCTCACATCAACCCGGTGCCCTGAAACAAAAACCCAGCTGTGTGCCGTGCGCTCAGTGAGGCTCTGTGGACCTGGGCTCCTTCCTTCCACTTCCTGTTCTGTGTCCAGAGATTCCCAGCAGAGCAGTGGAGCCCAAGGGACACCCTGGCTGGTCTCCCACATGGGCTGGGATCCGGGGAGGCGAGAAAGCACGGGGAGCCCTGTGCATCCTGGGGGCCCTGTGCATCCTGGGAGCTCTGTGCATCCTGGGCATGGTTCCTGCAGCCCTCCCGGGGCTCCCCCTTGGGAGGCTGCCTTTTGCTCTCTACTCTCAGACACTGGATGCTCTGCTAAAGCCCCTTGTGGTGCAGAGGGAGAGGCGGCCAGGCCTGGCACTGCTAGGCTCTCAGGGGTACACACCAAACTCAAGCTCAGAAAAGACCCATAAACGACCATGAGGCTGCCTGAAAGACAGGTGACAGTGTCTCTTTAACTTGAGAATGGTACAAAATCACACAACAGGACGGATGGCCCCAGGCCAGAAGGTCAACCATGCTTCCGATTAAGGCACCCGATTACAGGGGGGAGAGGACAGAGGCAGTTAATACATTAGTCTGCCATCTGGACGGAGCTTTGGGCGTCCAGCCTTACCTCAATCCCAAGGGACAAAGGAGCCCAGCAGACAATGTGGCAACAGATGGGCAGGTAGGCTCAGGCCTGTGGTGAGTGGGGCTGGCTACTGCACCCGTGCTGTCCTGACTGAGCACTCCTGAGCTACCAAGATGCCACCACTCTCCTGGCTATTCCTCTCCTCTGTCCCTTTAAGTTTTATAAGGCAAGGACGGGGACAGCTGTTGACTCCCTGGATAATCACGTGACCATTCTGATCTTAGGCAAAGAACCAGGAGGCCACCTGGACTTTAGAACCAATGGTGAGACCCAGTGTTTGCAAATTAAGGCAGAGAATCTGCAGAGGGGCCTGGCCAACTGGGCCCAGGCTGGACACACTCCTGCTCCACCTGCTGACTCATCCTTCAGACCTGATGCCTGGCTCCTTGCCCCTAAACTCTGGGGAGGGCTCTGCCTCTAAACAAAAATAAGGTTAAGAAAAAAAGGTTTCGTCTTCTCGTTTTGGGAGTGTACATCATGTGGTAGGCAATGCAGGGCAGTGGCTGGGACCGGCGGGCTACAGGCCCCATCGCACAGAAGCCTGGGTAGGAAGAGAGTGGGTGCTCAGCCCTGCTGGGGAGTCAGCAGAGAGCATCCCGTCGGCAGCAGGCCCCTCCAGCAGGTGGCAGCAGGACTCTGTGCTGGGCCTCCTGTGACCACTCCTCTCAAGGGCAGAGCCAAGGGTGACTCTTGGGCAGAAGACCCCACGGACAAGTGAGCATGGTTAGGGAGGCAGAGAGGAGAGAGTATCCCTATCAGGCTCTGGGTTTTGGAGGCAGCCAGCTGGGACCAGAGGCTCCTGGCCCCTAGGGCCAACACCAGAAGGAGCAGCTGTTGTCTTGTTAGTGTGTTCCCAGGTTCCCCAGTACTTCCTCACACCCGGGGCCACCCCCCGCATCTCCCAGTTGAACCCGAGAATCCCAACCATCTGACAAACATGTTTCTGATTTTGGTGCCATGGAAAATGATGGCACTGTGGGGGGGCTGTGATGTGAGGGAACGTCACTGGATAAGTGGACTCTCACAAAGCCCGAGGTGTGGTCTCTGTTTGGGCTCAATTCTGCTCTGGACAAGGGTCTCCACGGAGCATCCTTCTGTTACAGGGGCCCTGGCTGTCAGGCTCCAGAGAGCTGTGCAGGTACAAGTGCTCATGTGCTCAAACCCACCTCAGAGAGGGACTCGGAGCCCGAGATGCACGTCTGTGACCCCCAACTCCCCAGGGCGGTGGCTGTGGGTGGGGCCAGCAACATAACTGACACACGAGAAGCCACAGCCTTCTCCTGCCCCGCCTCATCAAGAGCAGGAGAGAGGTTATGTTTTAAGCAGCTGTTTATTGAGATGGGAAAAATATGCAGCAAAGAAACGAGGAAGGGTGACCCCTGAGCCACCTGGTGACATTGTCACCAGTTCCCAGATCTCCCACCCAGACTCCTGTGTACATGCCTACACCCCAAACAAGCCCTCCCGCTGCCCCAGCCCTGGCAGAGGCCCTTCTGAAGAAACGTGAAAGAAAACAGGAAAAGACGCGTGGTACCTGACGCCACCCGGAAGTAACAGGGCCCGGGAGGCATTTATTGAAAACACAGCATTCAGATCATGTCGTCTACGGCCAGGGTGTTTACAGTGGTCGGGGTCACTACACAGTCATCAACAATGCTACACAACAGGACAGATGAGACTGGCACCAGTCGCAGACAGAGGACACAGGCCCCTTCCTGGCAGGGCTGGGCCGGCTGAGGGGTCCTGGAGGATGGTCCTGGCAGTCTGCTCCAGGGCCCACTCGGCGGGGTTGGGGACCGCAGAGTCAGAGGGTGAAGATGGCTGAGCCTACCTCTCCCACATCTCAGCAGGGATGGTCACCCTGACCTGGGACGTTCTGGCGGTGGGCCCCAGGCCCCCTCCAGGGAAGCCTGCACTTCCTCGGTTGCCACTATTGATACCAGAAGGTGCCGGCACTTGTAATGGAAACTTCAGCGGACAGTTAAAAGTCACACAAAACTCTAAAAAGGCCAGGAATCCTTACTCGCACGTGTCTTTTCACACCCACTAGAGGGCAGGAGACACATCTGCTTGGTAAGGGATCCCTGCCAGCCAGAGCTGGCTCCGGCTATTATATAAATAATTTAAATAAACACACACATCCTGCTCCTGCCTACCGCCAAGAGCGCAGAAATCAGCACCACACTGTCAGCTTGGAGAAAAGGAGATTCGCATCACACCGAGAGCACGCACGGCTGACAGCCTGGCCCTGCCACCTTCCTCCTAGGCGGCTTCACAAAGTGGAAGGACAGGCAGGTGAACCTCCAGGGTGGCTGTGGCCCCCGATTCCTCCTCACTGCTGAGCACAGGGGCATGGCCGCATCCACCTCTTTTCTGAGGGGCTTTTTATCTCACTCTGCAGCAGAACAACAAGCCGCGTCCAGCACGGCCAGGCCTCGTGTGAAGTCACAGAAGGCCACAGAAACCCAGATGGTCTCCTGCCCTAGCTGGGCTCCCCTCATGCAGAAACTGAGCAGGATGTGAGCTCCTACTGTCCATATGGAGGCTAGAGGGTGGATGGCCTCACAGGATCCTCGGACTTAACAACTTACAATGGTGGGGCCTAGGCACGACTCTCCAGCTCCCCATGGGGCGCCATGGTGAAGCTGACCAGCCATCTCCCACCTGCCCATCTGCCCCCCAGACCTAGGCAGCTGGTGACCCCTTTGTTGGGTGTGGCCCTTACATGTGTAATCTGCTTTTGCCCTCCTGGGCTCTGAGGCAGAGGGTGGAAGAGCTGGCAAACTGTAGGCCAGTCACAGTGGGGCTTATGTTGAGTGACAAGTGGCGGGACAGACTGGTCCTGGAGGGAGTGTACAGCCTACTCAGGGGTACCACAGGCTACATGCCAGGCAGGCCCAGGCTGGGCCCACGCTCCTGCTGGATCCTTGCACACAGCTCAAAGCCAAGGTCTATCTCCACATTTGGACAGCACCCAGTTCTCAGAGCATGTCCACATGTGCTACTTCATATGACCCTTACATCCCCAGAAGCCAGCATCCCAGGGCCCTGGAGAGGGGACCACCTATCGTTTTGGATGGTTAATCGAGGCTAGGAACAGCAGGGGCCTGGCCAGGACAAATAGCTAACGAGGAGCTGGGTATGGCCTTTCCCCGGAGCAGCTTTCGGGGGGCAGCACCCCAGGCAGCCCTGCCTCAGAGGGAAAGGCAAGGCTGAGGCCCCGTGGCTGCCCTTTGGGGAAGTGGGGGGCAGGAGGTACGGCACTCTGCATGAGCTGCTACAAGGAAGCCAGTGGGTGACAAGGCAGAGAAGGACAAGGTGGCAATGACCTGGGTCACTATGAGCCTCTGGATCCCTTGGGCCCCTGACCTGCATAGAACTGGGGCAATCTGAGCTTCTCTCAGGCACCACATGGGGTGAGCAGAGGAGCTGGGGCATGTCCCAGGCACAGGAGGGAGCAAGGCTGATGACAGCACTCAAGTCCTGCTCTTGCCAGCCAGAGAAGGGCAGCCTTGGCCCAGCTGGCAGGGCAGGGCAGTGGGCAGGGTATGCATGTGGAGTGCCCAGTAACTAACTTATGAGCAGAGACTATTAAGACTCTGCACCCCGGGCAACCCCAGCACAGCCTCGCTGTCAAGAAGGAGCCTCCTGACTACACAAAGCAGCGGGGTTTTCTACTATCCACCTTGGGATGGGGATCACCACACAAATCATGGTCAAAGCCAGGTCAGGCCCAATACTACACTCCGCATACCTGGGGAAGGAGGCCGAGGGATCATGCAGTCTCAGGAAGGTCTTAGAGCAGGGAAAGGGGTAGTGGATCAAGGGACAGACCAGGCAGGAGGTCCTATGCGGGGACAGGGTGGTGATTCTGTTCTAGCCCTCACTCACCCAGAGTGGCACCTGCCTTGCCAAGCAGCCTGAGTGGACAGGTCACACAGCAAGGGCTCAGCAGGTAGCCACCATCACTGCCCTGTACCAGGGGCTCACCCCTGGGAGCTGGAGCCAGGAGAGGGCCATGGTGGTGTGTACGTGTGTGTGCCTGCAGGGTTAGGGCTGGGGTCAGAGGCAGACTGTGAAATGCTGCTCATGTTTAGGTCACTGGGGCTATGAAAGGGTCTCAGGCCAGAAGTGGTGGTAGTGGTGAACAGTTCCTGGGCGCTTGGGCAGCACCTCAACTGGGGGATGGCCTAGCGGTGCTGGGAAGGAAAGAGGGGGCAATGGAGAGGCTGGACTGAACTCGGGGCTCTAGACTGGGTGGATGGGAAGTGAGACAGGTAAGAAGAGAGAAGACTGAGGGGTGTCTGTTCCGGGCACGAGTTGTACCCTGGCCTGTTCATCCATCTGTCCTCCCCCCGCAGTCACTGCTGCTTCTCTGACCTTCGGGGCCGGAACCTCCGTGGGCCCGTTGCTTTTCTTGTTGCCACAGCTGCAGTGAAGCCCACCAGGCAGCACAGGGATGTGGTACTGAACTTGAGTGTGTCCAGCCAGCTGGGTGAGGCCGCCTGCAGGTACTGTTGGGCCAGGTGCAGCCCCAGCAGCAGGGCCCAGAGGCAGGTGGAAAAGGCATCGATTCTTCGGAGCCTGTGAGGGGACAGGAGGGGCAGGTGAGTGCCCAAGAGGCAAGGCAGGAACCCTCAGCCCCCTCCATCCACACTGGGCCTTGCTCAGAGTGCAGAGTCCAGAGCCAGGGGGATCCCTCTTCTGGCTTACAAGCCACCAGCCCTGGGCCAGCGCAATTCCTAAGCTGGTGAAACGGGCTAAGGAAACCTCTTGAGCCACTGCGTGGACACAGCAGGTATGGACCTGCTACCACTCGAGAAGGAAGCACGGCCCAAGAGCACCTCGCCTGAGCCCTGCAGCCCTCAGGGCAGGTGGTCATCATCACCTGACTTACAGACGGGAGCATGAGAGAGAAGTGAAGTGTCAGGGCCCGGCTCACAGTGGGCAAGTGCTGGTGACCCTGCCCCTGAAAGGCAAATCATTTGCTATCCTGACTCACCTGCCAGACTAACAAGTCTCGTCTGGCTACATGGTGGAGTTCAGCCCAGGGCTGTGCACCAACAAGGCCTCTCGGCTCCCATCCCTACACAGCAACGCAGAGCTCGAATCCCACACGTACCTGATGCGGCCGGCCAACAGCATGGCCAGCAGGCAGGTGAGCAGGCCCAGCAGTACAATGCCCATCTGGTGGCTCTGCCCAAAGGCCCAGGCCTCAAGCAACTTCTCTGCTGTGTGCTCGGGCAGCAGGCCCAGCAGCTGCCGCCAGCCCTCAGCCCCAGGGGCAGTGCCATTGTCCGGCATGGCTGAGCCATTGCTGCCAGGGGGCAGAGCTGGGGGCAGGGCAGCCTCTGGGGTGAAGGGGTCACTGGGGCCATACAGGGCAGCAGTCAGCAGGAAGGCACAGGCCAGGAAGGCCAGAGCACGGAGCAGGATGACCTGGACTGGGGCCTTCACCGTAGAGAAGCTCTGAGAGGGAGGAAGAGAGATGGGTCAGCAAGTGCCACCAACAGCCACCTGTGCCCTCTGGGGGGTGGAGAGTGCGGGGAGGGGCTGGCCAGGGCCCTATGGCACCCACTCGAGAGCCTGATACTCAAGAGATGCCCTGTTCCCACACCCCTCAGCTCTGTGTGGACACACCACCGGCTCGTCCCACTCCTGCCCCCACCTGGTGTGGGAGGGGCACCCTCCACCTCGCTCACTCTCCCTTTAAACTATCTCTTTCACATTGTAAGGACCTTATTCCTCCAAACAAGTTTCCAAATTTATTTTGTCAAGTTCTCACTTGTGCTTTTAACTAGCACTGGAATAACCATACAGTTAATGCTGGCAAAAGTTAAGTTAAACAGTACAGTCGAGCCATTCAGTGTATGGGGCCATGCAGTCAGAATGAGAACCACAGGTGTGACAAGGGTCCACCTGGTGTCCTGCTGTGGGCCAGGGGCCCAGTGCAGACTGTTAACCACACCAAGTGCCCCAGGGCACATCTCAGAACATGAGAGGACGGTGTTTATTTCTAAATCCACCTGCTACTATGTCGAGTTAAGGTTTTTTTTTTTTTTGTGGTGCTTAGATCAAATCCAGAACCTTGTATGTGCCAGGAAAGTGCTCTCCCTCTGACATGCACATCTATTCCCTTATTTTTCAAATGACCAGAATATTTCATTAATTAAGTACTGTAGTAACAGTTAATAGTTTCAGCCAGACATTCCCAGGTTTAAACCCTGATACTGGTGCCCAGCAGGTGTGGGGCTCTGTGCAAGCTTCTCAGCCTCCCCAGAGTTGTAGGAGTCACAGCACCTGAGAGTAACCACGAAGGCCGTTATGAGGAATGTATATAACCATGCCGAGTAAGTCACTCAAACCCATGCTTGGGCATTAAACAACCAAAATGTCATGGTCCTGGTCACTCTCCTTGGGAACACACACATGGCTGGTGACAAAGGGACTGGGGGGCAGGGTAGGAAGGGGGTTCTAGGGGAAGGTTGTTTCCCCAGGAAGGGTCACTGAGGCCCAGCCCTCTGGCAGGGGCTTCCCATGTAGACCCAAGGCCCCAGAAGCCCACGATGCCAGTCTCAGACCTGTACCTGGGCCTGGTCAGCCTCCCGGCGCCTGAACTGGTGGCTGAGCAGCAGGGCCCGCAGCTGGCGGTTCTGGTGCTTGATGTAGTACTCCACGGCTGCCTGGCATGGCCGGCACAGCTTGTACATCTGCTCCAGGTGGTGGCGGTACACCTCGATCTCCTCGTCGTATCTCCCCTGTGGGTGAGGACAGAGGCTTGGGTCTGGGGGCACCTGAGCTCCCCTGGTTCAGAACCAGGTCCTGCCACTTATAAGAGGGTGACCATGGGCAAGTACTCCCACTCTGAACTGCCTGCCTCTCTGCCACTGAATGGTGATGCAGGCTCCCAACAGTGAGGGACAGCACAGGGCAGGGGCACAGGTGACAGCAGTGTTCTAACAAAATTGCTGCTCCAAGCACGTACCTGGAGGTCAGGCACTGAAGAAGCGCTGCCTGCAGCAGTCCCCACTCCTGCCTGGAGCTCCTGGAAGGTGGGTGACCTACAGGAGGCGGCTCTAGGCTGCTGCTGGAATCAATCCAGCAGATGGGCAACCCCAGCTCAGGGACTGCCCTTACCCTTGACTGATGGTCTAAAATGCATTATAGCTGCTGGCTAGGCCAAGGCCTTATTGGGGAGCTAAAGGGTTCTTTGGGCTTCTGGAATAGCCCAGAAGACAAGTCCCATTCCTATCATCCTCAGAGATACAGCACTGTACCTCCAATGTCTTACAGTCTGGAGTGGCCAAGACGGTTATCAGTTTGGTCTCTTGAGGAAACCAAGCATGTCAGAAAAGCCATCTGGTGCCAGGTCCCCTATTCCTCCCCTTTCTGCAGACCCTTCCCTCCTTGCTTGGCCTGAGCTCACTCTGTTCTCTCCCCCTCCTAGGCTGGACCTGAGAAAGCTGGTGTTTCTGGGCTTCAGCTGGGATCTGCCTCTGAGGTCACAGGACCTAGGCTAGGCAACGTCTGGGGATAGGGTCCAGGAGGAGGAATCTCTGGATCTCAAGGAGGAGGTCGAGGGGAACAAAGCTCCCAGCTCAGTCCAATTCCTAACTTCAAGTTTCTTAGCAATACCTAGCTTCCTTCCTCTCCCAGAGCTCTGAGTGTTCCCACCAGCTCAGAACTGCCCTGCTGGGCTGAGTGGTGCAGCACTTGGGTTCAATCCCTAGAACCCTTCACCCCCAGGAACTGCACAGGCTGCCAGTGGGTAAAGTGACCTAGAAGGATGGGGACCGGATAGGGCCCAATGGAGTCCAAGTTTCTTATCTCTTTCTGTCCAGGGACAAAAACCTCTGGAACAGCAATCCCTAGGGTTTCCACTGGTGTTCCTGGGCTGAGTCCCCAGGCAGCATGGACAAGACAGGGATAGCAGGCAGTTTGGCTCCAGTTGAGAATGAAATCGCACTCCCTGGAATGTGGCCAGACCAGGGTCAGGGGAAGGGGCCTTGGGTACTCGGGACAGAAAAGCTGCAATCTGGCTGAACAGGGGCTGGAGGAGCAGAGCTAGCCCCAGCCAGCACCTGTGCACCTCGGCCCTGCCACCCTGCTCACCTCCTCCCGCGGTGCGAAGGCGGCCAGCTGCTTGATCTTGGTGGTCTGGTGGTGGCTGCACCTTCTGCACAGAAGGACTTGGCTGCTCACCCACTGCTGTGGCTGTGTGGGATCCTGGGGCACGCGCACGCTGCTCACCACGTGGTTCAGGTGCTCCATGTACTGGGCAGGGATCGGCTTGTTGTAGTCGCCGTTCTGAGGAGGAGTGTGGGCATCCTGGTTAGTGGGGAGCCCACTCCCAGACCCTGGCTGGCTCAGCTAGAGGCTGCTGCAGGATGCTTCAGGATCTCAGACATTCCCACTCTTTCTCTATGTGACAGCGCAGCAGCTTTTCCTCTGACACCTCACGGGTGCTGGGGCAGGGCCTGCACACATACCTGGCTCCGGCTTCATCGCTCAGAACCCAGATTGTGAACAGTGGCCTGTGAGCGGGCTGCCTGCCTGCTCTGTGAAGTCTTACTGGAAACTGGCCACTCTCCTTCATTCACATAGTGTCTGTGGTGGCTGGGCAGTCGAGCAGCTGTGACGGACCACGCTGCTTGTAGAGCCGCAGATCTGGGCTTGCCTCAAGTCTGCTACTTGTAATGACGAGATAGCTGACAAGCCACCACGGCTCCCTGAGCCTGGTTCCTCCCCAACAAATAAGGGTGTTGTGCCAGGACAACTGTGAAGCATGCGTGAGACGCCAGCACCCTGCTCATGGTCCAGTGGATGGAGATGTGGGGGCTACCAACCCTGGGATGGGCCAGGGAGCAGGTGCTTTGAGATACTGTCTCAGGAGCACCAGCCCCACCTGCCCGCCTGCCCACGCCCGCACCTCCTGGAAGCCGTTGTATTGCTCGCAGTGGGGACAGTCCCAGCAGTTGCGGTTCCCATATGGCACCAGTGTGTCCTGGTTGCAGAACCAGCAATTGACCATTGTGTGCGTTGGCTTCACCCTGTGGACCAAGGACAGTAGATTCAGTCCAGAAGCCCTCAAGACTTGTGAGAGGGGAGGCCACCCAAGCCCTGCCGCAGGCCACCAGAGAAAGGACAACAGAAGCAGGATCCCAGCTGGAGATGCAGGTGGGCTGCCAGAGGAAACGGTGGCCGAGGGAGGGTGGGGAGAGGAACTCAGACTCCATGTGCTGCGGCTGGACCAGAAGGACCAAGCGAGGGGGCCACAGCTGACAAAGCACCTCCCAGGAGGTAGCTGGAGACTCTCCGGATCCAATAGTTCCAGCATATCCACATGGGGACCTAGGGCCACCAGCCCCTCCCCCACCTGGGGCCCAACTCAGGATGGTCCCTTCCCAGGCTGCGGAAATAGTGCTCTCCAGAGTTTTCTAAGGGAAGGGAGTCTCCCGTGAAAAACTCCCCGACTTTTTGCTTCCCAGAAAAAGTCCCTGGAGTACGATGGCCAAGGAGCAGGGACTAGTGACAGCTGCTGGGCCAGGGCGCAGCCTTCCTAGTGGAGCAACAAATGTGGGCAGGTCCACAGTGGCCTTCACTGGTCACACTTGTGGTGACAGGTGGGGGCTTCAGGATAAGCCTGGCCCAGACACTGGGGGATCTGTGTTCTGGGTCCCCTGTCCCCCTCCATCTGCTTCATTGGCTGTGGGGCGTTGTAAGGGGGAGGGGGGCACAAAATACACAACAAACTCCTCAGTCCCAGAGCCTAGAAGGACGGGAGTGAAGGAGGCAGCTGGGAGTTCTTACCTCCCAGCTCAGGGCCCACGTCTGTGAAGCAGGAGCTTCTGCACACTGCAGGGCTCGATGGCATAAGATACAGCGGGCTCTGCCAGCCAAGGGACAGCTCTGTCACTACTCTTGTTACTGGCCTGGGGGGATGGTAGCTCCAGGGAAGCAGGGCACAGCTGCTGCTGCCCGGCCTTGCCCTCCTGTGCCCTCCCATCGACTGACTATGGGCAGGATAAAGTGGTTTCATCACCTGTCGCCTGGGGACACGAAGGCTGCCCTCACGGCCTGTTCCTGGGCAGTGCTTAGGATGCTGGGCCTAGAGTCAATCTCATAAACTGTAGTGATGTGGGGGTGGGGAGGCCAGAGGGCGGCCAGGGTATGCCACTGGCAGCCTCTGCCTACACCTGCTTCCTACTCTGGCTCAGGTCAAAGCCCTCATCATGACAAAAACCAGCTGCATCTTGTCAACAGCACAGGGCCAGCAGGCAAGGCCTGAAGACAGTGCATAGGGCAGGGGTGGCTCTGTGCTCATTGGCATGGCCTCCAGGGAGGGTCACCCAACTTCCTGGAATCCCCACTTCATTCCCTCACCTAACAAACGGGGACACTAAGACTCACTGCCCCAGAATGGCTGCTGGGAGGATCCAACCAGAGAATGTAGGAAAGCACTGAGCACGGCAGGTGGCCCATGCTCAGCGCCAGCCAGCTTCACTGGGCACCAACAATGGGGCCAGTGTGGCTGGAGGCGTGGAATCTCTGCAGTGGTGGTCTGGTGGCCCGGGCAATTAGCACTCGCTGTTTATTAATTTGTACTGCTTTACAACCCTCTCTGTAGTTGTGCATGGGGGTGTGTCCTGATAGCTGGTGACCAGGCAGCGTGACCTCTCTCACCGCTCCTCCCCATGCCTATGACAAGGCTCTGTACCTATCTGTCTCTAGGGCCCCTCAGCCATGGTTTGTTTGAAGGGGAAGACCACCCCCTGTGCCTGCCCTGGGAACCAAAGACAGGTGAGCAGGAGTGTGGCTCCCGCTGCCCAAGGGGCCTTCAGAAGCCCCTCCCATCCAGGGAGCCCCTGCCAGGGAAATGGCTCAGGGCCCTAGAAGGAGCCCAGCCTGGAAGGGAAGGCAGGAGGTTAGCCTTTGTCACAGGCCAGCAGCTAATCTTTGATGGGGGCAGAGGTATTCTTTTGTGGCCATAGTGGCTGTTGCCCCCTCTGGCTAGGCAGTCTCCAAACCAACAGTCGCCTCCTAGCCCCAAAAGGTCTGTGGGTGGCAGTGAGGGGCTACTGGCTGGAATCTCAGGACCCCTCCCACTAGTATGGCTGCCTCCCAGGCTTCAGACATCAGCCGCGTGGGTGAATGTGACAGCCAAGGCAGGCCAGGCAATCTTGGCCTCGAGGCCTCCCTCTGCCAGGCCTAATGCAGCAGTAGCTGAGCCAACCTCACCTGGCCTGGCTTCTGCTCAGAGAAACGCCCCTGCCCCACCTCACATTTCCCTCATAAACCCCGAGGCCCACTTCTCTCCACCCAGCCTACGACCCCCCCACAACTGGTTCTAGGACACAGCGTACCTAGCAGGTTTGAGGTGAAAAGAGAAAGGGACACAGGCAGCCTCAGGCCCACGAACCTTTTAGGAGGTTACTTGGGGGCTTATGGGTGGGCCTGGAAGGTAGTCTCCTAGCTCCTGACACCATTATACTAAGCTCCTGGGCTGCTGGAGGGGCCTGAGGCAGTCATGGGGCAGAAGCATAGCCCAGAACAGAGGGGAAAACTATGAGCAGGAGGAGTCTCTGAAGAGGCTGGCACTCCAGGAGGCCTGACACAGAGCGTTACTCAGAACAAAGCTCCTGCCATGAGGTCTCCCCACTGTTCTAGAGTGCCCACAACTTGAGTTCCTTGAGGCCTCCCTCTGCCAGGCTGCTCTGTGTCACACAGAAGAGACACTGAAATGGCTCAGCTGCCATCCTAAGGAGTTCCAAGTGCATGTGTACACTGTCTCCACCAGGCTGAGCAGCACACGGCCCAGCCCTGTCACTTTGACCCTGGGCACTGTGAGCAGGCTTGGTTCCCTCACAGGCCCAGGGACAGCTGGCCTCACAGGGTGTCTCTCTTGCCGTTCCACCTGCTGGGTGGCCACGCAGATTACCTCATCTGCCCTAAGTATCCAAGGAGCCTCCTGGGCTTACTTCAACCATGGTGGCATCACACTGCAACTGGGCACTGCCAGGACCCAAGCAAAACACACCAAAGTCCACAGTGATGCTACCAACACCAAAACAGAAACCCCAAGTTCTACCCCTCGGAGGACAGACCTGGCTTGGGGCGGCTCTTTGCCTATCAGTTCACCAAGCACCATGTAAAGTTTGCAGAGATGTAAGGACTAGCACAGTGCTCCACTTGGTCCTGGACATGAGGACAAGAATGACAGCTCAAAAGGCAGCAGGAGACAGATGCCAGAGGAAAGCAGCCAACAAGCAGGGCATCTGCTGTCACCCCGAAGAGCAGGTGTGCTCAAGCCAGGTATGGTGGTGCACACCTGTAATACTAGCTACTCTGGAGGACGAGGCAGGAGGGTCACAAGTTTGAGGCCAGACTGAGCAACTCAGTGAGACCTCAAAAAACAAAAAGGGGTGGGGATGTAGCTCAGTGGTAGGGCACTCCTGGGTTCAATCCTCAATACCAAAAGGAAAAAATATCCAAAAGACAAACAAACAAAAAAGAGTGGGTGCACTCAACAGCAGGCAAAGGTGGGGACCATGTGAGGTGAATGCACCCAGGCACAAAATCTGCTCAGCTTGGGTGGGCAGCCCAGGACATAAGTGGCGAGAAGTGGACCTGGCAACATGAGGGTGCCCTAGAGGGCTCTGTGGCACCAGAGGCTGTGCTACACACTGGGGGAAGTTGCCTCCTCTTCATTCCCAAACAGAAGAAAGACGATCCTAATAAACCCCAACATAGTACCCCAACGTAGTGCCGGGAGCCCCAGGCAGCATGTGACGGGTGCAAGGAAGTGTGTGCTTGCAAAGGGCAAATCCTGGACACGCGATAAGGTGGGATGAGACGTACCAGAGCAGCAGAGTCAAGAGCTAGGGGGTGGCACAGGAAGCCACGGGCCATCATGGCTGCCTGGACGGGGTGAGCAAACCCAGGGAAGTGTTATTTGGGCTGTGCTGCCCGTGAGCGCAGAAGCAGCCCAGGTGCTTAGTGAGCACGCAGAGCATGAGGCTTGGTTGACATAAGGCGGGGGCTCTGCCACTTACAGCTGGGTGATGTGGGGCAGGAAGACCAACCTCCCCAGGACTTTGTTTTCTCATCTGTAAAATGAGAGAATAGTATATCTGGCCCTTTGGGGTTGCTGCCTGGGGGGCAGCTCCAAGTGCTTATGGCCCCACTATCACCACAGTAATGGTAGCTGATCTGGTCATTAACAATAATCAGGGTAAGGGGACTCATGGGGGAGGAAGCCACAGTTATTGGACTTGACTGGGGCTCTGGGGGACTTTAGAGAAGTGACCACTTCCTGGGCATCTCAGTGAGGCTTAAAGCCCAGGGTAAGGCTGACCTAGAAAGAGTCCAGAGGATGCTCCACATTCCTCCTCAGGGGCACCTTCCTGCCCTCTGCCATCTCTCTGCTAAGCCTGCAAACACTGACCCCACCAAGTCACCTTCCAAAAACAACTGTCCTTTCATGCCCTCCTTAGGGTCATTCAAAACCCCTGCTGTGGCCAGAACCAAAGACTCCTCACTGTCACAGTTTTCTCCCTGCTGGAGGGAGAAAGGTGCAAGCAGCCACTTGCCAGACTGTTCTCCAGATGACACCCAATGCCCTATGAGGACATGGAGAGCATCCTGGGAAGGACCAGTTCTTCTCTGTTCAATCAACAGTAACAGTCCTAACACTACACCTCAACCCTCTGGTGTTGTTCAGGGACACGAAGGGACTTCTGGGCACCCGCAGCACAGCTCACCCCGCACCTCACCAAGACCTCTCATTTTGTCTTGTTTCTGGCAGAAAGAAAACCATGGCTGACAGGTCAGGAAGGGGAAATTGGTACCTGGGAATAGTCACAGCACAAGACATCCAAGTGTGTGTGGCACAGTGAGCAATCTCTAGTCACATGCAGCCACACTAAACCCAGGCGAGCAGGTGCAGACTCTGCTCTTCGGCTGTGCTCCCAATCCTGGGCTGCCGAGGTGCTGCTGTCCAGGAGGAACCTGGCTCTGCGCCAGCTCTGCTGCCCACAGGCCCTCTGTGTAAGAAAATGACTGGTTCAGACCAGCTGGTCCTGCAGGCCCCTCCAGCTTCCAGGAGCGGGACAGGAGTGAAACATGTGGAGACTCAGGGTGAGCGACCCTTTGAGTTGAGGGCTCCCTCAGTTCCCCAGGAGGCAGCCCCTCCTCCAGAGACACCAGACACCTCTTCCTCTTCCAGAGGTCTCTGTGATTCGCCCAACCCACTCCTTTTTGCCTGTCTCTCCTCTGAGATGGTCAAGGAAGACTCGCCAGACATGCTTTTGGGTTCAAGCTGCAGCTCTGCCACCTGCTGCTGAGTAACCCTGGGCAAGACCCTTTGCACCCTTCACCTTCGTGCATCCCTTGCTGTCTCTAGGATGGTCTCACAACTCCACTTTCCTCCCTGTGCCCAGGGAAGGTGGATCAGTGGGGAAACAGTTGGCTATTCCCGCCCCCAGGCCTTGCTGAACCAAGAGGCCATTCTACTTCTATGCCTGACCATGGAGTGGGATGGAGAAGCCAGATGTGAATGGAGGGTCTGCATGATCTCAGCCTGGCAGGGTGGAGGACGGGCCCTGTCCATCTCAGACACCTCCCAAGCAGCTTGGCTTTGCCCACCTCCGGGAGGCAGTCCAGCCAGGGGCCAGGAGTGCAGGTTCCAGACACAGGCAGCATCTCTCCTGACATGGACCTATCTGGCTTGCTGTCTCTCGGCTTTTCCTGGGGGAAGCAGTGGTGGCCTGAAATGGCCGATGTGAGGAGTGTGTGGCCCGAGCCATGACACGCAGAAGAGCAAGTGCCAGCTATTATCAACGCATCAGACGGGCTGCCGGGGGCCCAGGGCGGAGGGGGCCCAGGGCGGAGGGGGCCCAGAGCAAGGGGCCCAGGGCAGGCCGCCAGGGGGCAGCGACCTCCGGGCCTGCAGGTCGTGAGGCGCGGGCGCTGCGGGCGCCGTGGGCGGAGGAGCCCGCAGCCCCCGCGCCCGCCGCTCTCGCCCGCACCCCACACTCTGGAGCCCCCGCCCCCGGCCAGGCTCCCCAGCCGCTTCCCCACTCGGTTCCAAACCCGGTCTTTTTGGGGCGGGCGTGGGGCTGCAGAGCGGTCCCGCGCGTTCGCAAGCAGGCCGGTCCCCGCCGCGGCCTCCGCGGGACTGGGGCGGGGCGGCGGCCAGGCCGCATGGGGCCGGCCCGCGCACTCACCTCCGCGCGATCCGGTAGAGCAGCACTCCGGCGGCGGCGCACGCTGTGACCCCCAGGCCGCCGGCCAGGCCGGCCGTGGGGCAGCGGGCCAGCAGCGCGCTCACTCCTTCCATGGCTCCCGCGCGGGCGGCGGCGGCGGCGGCGGCGGCGGGCTGGGGGCGCGGGCCGCAGCGGTACGCGGGGCGGCGGCGCGCGCCTGCTCGCGCCGTGACCTTCGCCGCTTTGTAGCAGGCGCGGGCCCGCCCCCTGACTCGGCGCGCTCCCGCCGCTCAGCCTATCGCGGCGCGGGGCGAGCCCGGGTGGGCGGGGCACCGGCGGAAGCGCGCGGCGCCGGCTCGGGCGCGCCCCCCGGCGTCCGGAGGTGGAAGGCGGCGCGCAGAGGCGGGCCAGAATCCCGCCCGCGCACGCGCCGGCCGCGTGGGTCGAGCTCCAGCAGCTGGGGCTACCTCCGCGTCCTGCCACTGAGGGCTGCTTGCGGTTGGTTCTCTCCTCCCGCTAGTCCGCTTCTCTCAACGTCTAGCCAAACCTTGCCTATGCGCTCAGTGCCGTTGCAACTTCTGAAGGCACAAGGTTGAAAATTAGCTTGTACAAACACAAGCGTCCTGCGACGGAGACAAAGTTAATCCTAGGATCATCATGCAAACGTTAGAAAGAACCTCAGAGCTGGAGGTCTTGACCTGGAAGGGTGGTACACTTTTAAAAATCCACTTGCTGAGCAGGGGGCCGTGGTGCACGCCTGTAATCCCAGGGGTTTAGGAGGCTGAGACAGGAGGATCTCGAGTTCAAAGCCAGTTTCAGTAGGCGAGGCGCTAAGCAGCTCAGGGAGACCCTGTCTCTAAATAAAATACAAAATAGGACTGGGGATGTGACTCAGTGGCCGAGTACCCCAGAGTTCAATCCGTGTACCAAAGGCGGGGAAAATCCTCATGCTGGTTAATTTTGCAGTATCCTAAGTTTGAATAAAGCCTATTGGTATATTTGTAAGAAGTAGAGGGTGGTTAACACTGAACTGCAAACTGGTTAGTTATCGCGGGCGGGGGGAATGAAAGGAAGGTGCATTTGAGGGAGTGTAGCAGTATTGATTTGAGCTAAATTGGTCAATAATAAACGCTAAGAGGAAATATTTTTATCTAAGCAAATAATGTTTCTGTGACCCCACAAACTTACCACTGTTTTTGAGATCGATATTAAGTTCTGTGTGGCAGAGATGGGTTATTTGGGCATCAATGTCACCTTTGTTTTCTGTTGCCAGGGAAGCTGCCCACACTCAATTCGGTGCTTTCACTGGGCAGGAAGGAGGAACCCGGGTGAGTGAAAGGAACCAAGGTGAAGCCTAGGGGGTGCTTGGGCCTGGACTAGACCTCCTCTCCTAGATAAGGGTGTTAGAACAAAGCCCTTGCTCCGGACTGTCTTGACTTGCAGCTTTTTCCCAGCCATGAGCACACAAATACCTTATGATGTGCAGCATACCTTCAATGTGTGGGCCTGAGTTTAATCACCTTTCCAATAAGTGTGCGCTTGTATCCGAAAGGAATGAGTGCACTATGTGAGAACAATGTATGACATCCAGCTGTCACATCCCTCGTTCATTAGTTTAAGCACACCTTGATCAGCAGCGCTGCCTAGGAATGCAGCTTTCTGAATGGTTTGCCAGACCCTGCCTTTGGAGTCAGAACATTCCTGCCTTTGGTTGGACCTAGAATGACACCCCCACCTTTTATTAAGTCTTTGCCTCCAGCCTTCTGTTATTGGAAGGTGGTGGAGACTCAGTTCACTGGAAGCATGCCCTTGACTGTGAAATTGCTGTCTATTCCTCTTTTTGCTTCTGGGCCACAAGGTGAGTGTTGCTCTGCCACAGTGTTCCTGCCATGACATGCTGCCTCCCTGCAGGCCCCAAAGCTATCAGCCAATCAACCATGGACTGGAATCTCTATAACTGAGCCAAAGTAGAACTTTTCTCTTTTTACCTCAGGCATTACCTAACACAGGCTTTGGAGTCAGAACATTCCACAGGCTCCAAGGCCCTTTAGACCTCTTTATTAATTTATTCAACAAGTAGGACAGTGGGCTGCTGTGGGTCATTTTACCATTTACCACTTGCAAGTCACCTGACATAATCCCACTCACTTCTTGTGTGGACGGTACCACCTGTCTCACAAGGTCACCAGGATGAATTTAAATGAGAAAATACCTAATACCTTGCATAGTTCATGGCATATACTAGGCATGCAGCGAGGGTTTTTAAAGTCACAAATATGTATGTGTATATGTACATATGATTATTTAAAAATAAAGTCCCAGTGACTGAGCTTGTGAGCAGAGAGGAGTAAATCACAGGGTTTCCCCACTCAGCCCGAGCAGTGGTATTCCCCATGAAACCAGCAGCTCCTTTCTGAACCAAGTGTCCCTTCCTTCCTGCTTGCTCCCTTCCCACTTGAGTGCTCAATTTTCTTTCACTTTGATGGCCTGGTGAAGGAGAGGCAGAAAACTAAATTATACTGGCTCAACATCAAAATATTAAAGAATGTATAAGTGAAAAGTTAAGCAATCTCATTTTTAGAAAAAATTCTGGTTTTACTGAGAGTATAAAAATGATGCGGCTGGGGTTGTAGCTCAGTGAAACAGGGCTTACTTAGCACATGTGAGGGTTTGATCCTTAGCACCACATAAAAATAAATAAAAATCTTTAAAAAATGAGGTTGTGGTAAATGCCACTTTCAAGCACTACAAGGAGCTTCTGGATTAGAAATCAATTTCCCATTGTTCAACCAGAGAAATGAAAAGTTGTGCTGCAACTGTGTACAATGAATCAAAATGCATTCTGCTATCATATGTACCTAATTTAAATAAATAATTAAATGTTTCCCATCATGCACTTTAGAAGCAATGAAGACTGGCTACAGTTTCCCTTTTAGGTAGCAGTTGAAGCAGATTATATTAGTGAGCTCAAGAACACCAACTGACTTCCCTATGACTATAAAGATCAAACTTGATTTAAATTCTACTTGAAAACATCCTCCCTTCATCCTTACCAAAGTATCTGCAATTGAATCTGAAATACAATGTATCAGGTATTAGGATCAAATATCTTTTGAAACATTCAGATTGCAAAATAAACTTCATATACCAATTCCAGTGAAAGAGCTTCTGGAAGACTACTGATTTTTACCTGCCTTTTGTCTTGTTATAATCATTGTGCTCCTTTATTGTTTCCTTTAAAAGCTAGGAGTAAAATTCTGGTAATTTGTTTTTAGGCTTTGATCAGAGGTATTTATACAACACTAGCACCTCCTGTCAGTATGAGTAACCTCCTCAGGGGTGGGCAATCACTCCTGTGTGGGGTTCCATCTCTCCAACAGCAGAGACCCAAGAACAGAGTCAGAGACTGCAGAGGAACGGCCGCTGCCCCCGCCCGGCCCCCCCCCCCCCCCCCCCCCCCCGCCCCCAGTCAACATTCACAGCCAGGCTGGAGCTGAGCCTGGCTTCTGAGGGTTCACTTCTGGAGGACTATCCACGAGTAGGGAACAGTCCTTTAAAATTCTTGCCTCTGGTCCAAATGGGGTAGATGAGGGTTCCTTTGGAAAAATGTTTATAAGTTGTGCTTCAGCCTCCGTGTTCCTACAGTTCAAAGTAGGATGAGCATAAAAGAGGACACAAACCAAATGCACACTTAAATTAAATAGCATGATTTAATTTAGTTGCCTCTTAATCCTGAATCCTCTTAAGTTAAAAAAAAAAAGTTATAATTAACTATTAACGTTAATGAATTTAAACCTTCCAGAAAGCATGAATCCAAAAGGAAATGTCCAGCAGGTGACAGGAGCCAGATGCTCTATGGCCTTTCCTGTTTCAGTCTCAGACACTCTAAACATCAATGGAAAAAAATCTCTAGTTTCTCAGTTTTATTCTCCTAGAGCACAGTGTGTGGCCTGCTACTGCACACGGTCCTCCAGCAGGTACACAATTAACTCATAGGTGGACAACACGATGGCAGTATTTGGGATCTGCCTGATGAGCTGGGCTGAGAGTCCTCTGTAGAAGGCGAGGTAGCCTTCCTCCCGGAACACCAGGCGTGCTGTCTGGATGAAGGACTTGTACTTGGTGCCCTCCTCCCGGAGCCGAGTTCTAATGACCTCTGCAGAGAGACAAACACCTGCTTTAGGCTACAAATGAAACAGGGAGAGAAGTCAAGGTTCAGCTATGTCTATCTGCCATTCTGGTTCTATTTGGACAGGACAGTCACAAGCTTAGATAAAAAAAGGGTAAATTCCTTTTAGCACATCTCCTACTCCCCTTTATAACTTCCTCCTCCTTAAATCCTTTCCACTCTGTCCAGCTGAAAAGCCGTTCCCTCCTTCTTCAAGACTTTGCCGGTTTGGCCTCCTCCCCAGGCACCCACAGCTGGACACTGGTCACTCCTACCTGTTGTGCACAACTCAGACCCTGGGTGACCTCTTCTCTATCATCCCTTTGGGTCGCCTGGTAGTGTCCCAGCACAGGGTGGAACGTGATACCTGCCACCAATACTTGATACCATGTGCTGACAGCACAGCAGGCTTGGGAAACAGCCTGTATCTCACAGCACGATAAACTAAGTGTGGCTGGGCTTGTTTTGTTTTTGTGGTACTGGGGATGGAACCCAGGGCCTCAAGCAAATGGTCTACCACTAAGCCACATCCCAGACTTTTTAAAAATTCGAGACAGGGTCTTGTCAAGTTGCCCAGGCTCAGCTCAAACTTGTGATCCTCCTGCCTCAGCTGAAGGAGTAGCTGGGATAACAGAGGTGTCTGCTATTGTCCAAGGTCTTTTCTTAAAAGTATGTCAGTGGGACAGTAATTCTATAATTCTTTAAAAAATAAAATTAGCTGAGGGCAGTGCTCAAAGGCAAAGCACATACTTAGCATTCATGAGGCCCTTCATCTCCAGCACCAAGACAAACAAAATTGCTAAAAATTAAACTTACCCAAAGCAGCCTTATTCATCACTCCACTCAAACTGAAGCTGAGTGATTTTTAAGTTTGGCTCCCAAGTAATTTTTTGAATCAAGGAATTTTAAGTAAGACTCATATTTTTGAGTTTCTTTGAAAACAGAAGTTCATCAACACAGGGCCTGCATTTCTGCATAGCAAATTCTGGCCCCAATCAGCTGAAACTGAATGAAGCAGTTCCCACCACTGACATGATCTCTGCTCAAGCAGCTAAGGCCACTTGTGCTCACCCACCTTACCTGCAGGTATAGGGTGAGCACCCCTTATCCGATAATCTGCCTGAAACTTCTGGTGCATCACGTTGGCCAGATTAGGCACGCTTAACTGGTAAAGCCTACACACACACATTACAAAACCTGAAAATCCCCAAATCTGTAACACTTCTAATCATAAGCATTTCAGACAAAGGACACTCAACCTGTATGTGCACTTCAGTTTGTGCTATGGAGGTCCTGATACAGTGACAAATGACAAACCTGTCAACTGCTTGACTGCTCTGGAAGTAAAAGGCAAAACATACCGTGTGGATAAGCAATGCAGGAGGCACATCCCTTAGAAAGAGCAGCAGCTGCCATGAGTCCAAAAAAACTTGTCGAATTTTTCTCAGTTCCACTTGTGGAAGAGGCTAATGGACCTTCTTTCAGATACTTCTTTAAACTTTCATAAATAGCAAAACAGATGATAGTTTCTGAGATTCCAGCATATGAGGCAGTTAATCCTCTATAGAAGCCACGGATGCCCTCTGTCTGGTAAATGTATCGAGCGCACTGGAGTGTGTTCATCTGCTTGGAGCCCCTTATTCTGCATGGGGAGAACCAATGACAGGTGACTGAGAGATCGCTGCACCAGGTCACAAAGGTGATCGCCAAATGTACAGAGAAACTGCACAAGAGAGAAATCTGTCCTGTGGCCGGCTGACCCCTGGCCCCCTGTGAGGCTAGCTCAACACACTGGGGCACCTGACTGGCCCACAGTCTGTATCAAGGGCCGGAGAAGCATGTTCACAGCCTCTGACCTAATTCTATAAAGAGCTCATGGAGGATAATGCTCGTCCCAGGGGAATCACAACTGCAATACAGTCAAAACAATCCAAAAATTTAAGAATGGGAAGGCAAGTACCAGATTCAAAGTCAAGGTGCAGCAAGACACAGGAAGGTGCTTAAGTGGAAAGCAGGACAAAATTCACACATGAAATGTGTGAAAGGAAGAAAAATTCACCAAAATTCTGACAAGGCTGGTAAATACAAAGGTTCCCCAGGCTCCAGAGTATTTTGTACACGCACTGAGGACTGAACCCAGGGCATCATGCATGAATGGTATATTTTTTATTCTATTATTTCTAAACTTGGTTCCCTGTCTTAATCATTTCACAAAAAAGGTAACTTAGAGTGAACTGATGTTGACCAGTTGTTTTTAATTGTTCAGTCTCCTTATTGCTATGTTACAAGGAAAAGTAATTCTGGCCAAACTTCTTTTTGTTATATCTTTTTTTTTTGTTTTTTTGGGTACTGGGGATTGAATCTAAGGGCGCTTAACCACTGAGCCACATCCCTAGCCCTTTTTGAGCCAGGGTCTCACTAAGTTGCTCAGGGCCTCCCCAGTTGGCAGAGGGTGGCTTTGAACTTGTGATCCTTTTGCCTCAACCTCCTAGTTACTAGAATTGCCTTTTATAGACAGCCCTCCTCTGCTTGATTCACTGGAACAGTTATTCTGTTATGGAATAAAGTGATATAAATTTTAGAATCATAAAATGGACCTGATTAGGAGCTTTAAAAGCTAAATTGCTGAGATTTCATCCTCTGACCGAGGTGCTTTATTGTATCAAGCCTTTTCTGTAACCTGGCTGCTCTCAGGATGGTGGGTGGCCTTGCTGCCTCAGGAGACGGACCTCCTCACCTTTTTATGTGCCTCTTGGGTTGCTGGGATCAGTCTTAGGCCACTGTACCCAGCTAATTGTATTTTAATAACTATTTATGATTTCGTTAAAAATACTTTATTCTAAAAAGAGCCTACAGGTTTCCCCAGAATGCCAAAGGAATCCACAGCACCAAAAACAAACAAACAAACAAACAAAAACAAAGCCAACAACAATGCCTGGCTAGAATTTCAGGGCCCAAACTGAGTGTATCTGAGGGCCTTATTCAACTTCCCCTCTGGGGCCTGGAGGCTTGTGCTGTTCTGCTCTTTCGACTTCCTCCCCTGGAAGGTGAGGCCTCCAGAGGACCCTCAGCATGAAACCTGGTGGGGCCTGCACACAGCCCTGAGAGCACTTCCCATCTTCTTCTGCCATCTCTGTGGCCCTCCTCTCCCCACAATGCTTACAAGCACAAATCTCAAAATAAGAAGTATTTCTACATATGCTTAGATTGAGGGGGGAAAAAAGAGGGGGGGGGGATGACTGAAGAGTCCTACATCTAACACCATAGCTAGAACTGGGGAAGGAAAAATCCCACCAAATTCTTACATTAAGGAAGGGACAATCAATAACTTACTTTCGCTCTAGCTGCATCCGAGTTTTAACCATCCATATAGGATTCATTAAGGAATTTGTGACAAAAGCTGGAAGAAAAGAACAGCAAAATAAAGTCATTACTGGGCAGAGCCAGTGCTTATCAAAGCTGCCCATGCCATACACAGCTTGCGAAACCAGGACTCCTGTGGCTTAACAGAACTGGGTGGCGGAAGCAGGTACCTCTCTGTACTGCAGATGGAAGCCGCAGTCCTGTACCGTGTCTACTCCTGGACCCCAAGAAAGCGCTCAGCTTCCTAGAGCCTGCTGGGTCTCTCTCACCCCTAGGTGGTGCTGCTGGCCTTTCTCCTAATGTGATTCCCACAACTTAGAAGGTTCAGATCCTCAAGGAATTTTTTTAAGAAGTTGCTAATGTAATCCAAATGTTACCTTATATCTAATTTGGAAAAAAGGAATTCAATCTCTTTTCACCTGAATTCAAACTTAGAAATTTTAAGCCAGATGAATCATTTCAGGAAATGAAGTATTGAGACTGATCTGCTTAGAGGACTCATCTTAACTTTGCTCATCTTTCAAATCAGTCAAAAAAAAGGCCATGCTGTGGTATTAGTCCCAACTCCTCTGACACCTCATGCCATCCAGAGTCCTAAGTAGATTAATTATTAGGAAGACACTTGCTTATAAAGTTCCCTGAAGGTCTGCTTTATTTACCTGTTCTGGGTTATTTTTGCAAGTCACAAAACTAACCAGTAGCTTCTGGCTTATGGTTAACTCACTATTGGCCCATTAAGTGAAGATAGACCTAATTTGGAATGCTATGTCCTCCTCAGAGCTCCACACGAAGTGGAACTGCTTCTCTTGTGTGAAGCAGCTCTGCTTAATGTTTTCTATTCGGGGTCTAGAAATCATAATCTCTAAATATTCAAATGGGTTGCTAGTATACTTACTGGGGTAACAGAGGCAAATGAAACTGGTGTTTATACCCACAGACTGGCACAAGGTGGAAATTTTTCTAAAATGTCAATTTAAATTCTCTAAAATATGTTTCAATTTAAGTGAACATAAGCCTCTGTATAAAAAGACAGACTTTCTCTTGGCGATCTGCAAGTCCATGCTTTCTGCGTAGGACTTCCTGAGGAACAGTCCTGCCCCAAGTTCTACAATGAGTGGAATGACTTGCTCAAGAGAACAGAAGCTCTCTGACCTGTCACCTGTCCTGAAAACACTGCCCCATAGCCGTGAGCCCTCGCTGTGTACCCAGGTATTAAGGGCAGATGGGCCTGCCAGATCCTGGGGAGTCACAAAGAAAGCAGCTCTGATTTCAGGAAACAACTTAATGGGAAAAGCAGAAAGACATGAAAAACACTCTAATAACATAAAAAAAAAAAAATAGCACTGACTGGCAGCATGCAGGAGAACATGTGAATTTTGAGGGAGAATAAAAAGCCTGAGCAGTCAAAGAAAAGGAAATCAAGTTATAAACTATTCTCAAACACTCATTCCATCAGTTCTAACATAAAGCTTTTGAAAATGATTTTGGGTCAAAAAGAATAGGAAGTGAATTTCTGGGGGGTTAGGGGGAACACATGCTTTAGGAAGCGAGAGGCTTTTATCTCACTCACTAGGTAACATACCTGCAGAGCCAGCTGAGAAAATATGCACAATATTGCTATTAGGCACGAAAATGCCATTAAATTGCTCTTTGGCTTTGGAGTAACATGCAAAGTACACAGCCCTGTTAGAACAAAGAGAGAATGCTATAAAGAAATCATTATGGCACCATAAAATATATATGTGAGGCATAATAAATAATATGGGAGAAAATATATAACCAAAACCATGTCCTCACCTGTGCTAAAACCAAAACCTGCTCAGAAAGTTCTTTCTTGCCCTGCCAGAATTATTTAATGATGACAGAGTATCCAAAACAATTGAGGAAAGTGATATTTGGTGATATGTGTACCAAGTTCTTTTATGTTCTTCATTCTGGATGAATGCTAACAGCAGCAATATAGACTTTAACTTTAAAAGCTTGTAACATTTCTAAAATATACTAAGGCCAGCGCAGTGTTTCTGTCCCTTGCTCCAGTCTTCTCAGTCCTTCTCCTCTGTCCTCCTTGCTGCTGGGGCTCAGGAGTATAGGCTGCTTGGAAGTTTCCTGGTAATGCAGGCAAAATGCTTCTTTTTCTTGTTGGCTAATAACCCAATCATAGGATTTAAGTTTCATCTTAGGATCTTTTTTTTAATATTAATTTTTAATTTTAGGTGGACACAATACCTTTATTTTACATTTATGTGGTGCTGAGGATCAAACCCAGTGCATGCTAGGTGAGTACTCGCTCTACCACTGTCCACAACCCTAGCCCCTCATCTTAGGATCTAGACTACTGTTAAAATAAAAATTGCAGGAGGCCACTACTTTGGACTAAATTCCTTCCTGGGCCCCAAGAAATCAGACAAAAGCAGTGGAGTCCCTGTGTTGAAGTTGCTTGTAACCAAACTATCTGCCCCTCCAAGAAATCAGGATTAGAGAGGTAACTGTTAACGTTCCCAAAAGGGACAGTTTCAACTGGTGTGATCGTCAACTTTCCTCTGCTTTAATTCTTATGAAAAAGAACTGATGTTAACCAGTTATTTTTCTATTGTTCCCTGTTTTTACCCTGCTTGGCCCACTGGAACACTTATTCTAAATTATATGGAATAAAATGTTGCCTAATTCTAGAATGGGAAATAAATCTTTAAATTACTGAAATTCTGTCCTTTAATAACATGAACACATTAACTTTTATATCCAGTTACTCTTTTTATCTGCTCTGTCCAAAAGAACTTTCTGTCAGTGGCACTGAGGACAAGCACACTGTTGTGGAAGCAACTCCTTGTCTACTTCTGCAAAGACAGAATGTTCTGCACCTGTGCTCTAATACAGAACCACTAGCTACCTGTGGATTCTGAGTACTTGAAACACTCCAGGTGAGCATAGACTAAGGAGTGAATCTTTCATTTTAATTAATTTACATTTAAGCAGGTGCATGTGGTCAGCGGCTATACTACTTGCACAGCACAGCTTTGTATATTTAGACAGGCTTTCAAGAGAATTAAGCCTGTGGAAGAAAAAAAAGAGAATGTCATTTTGCAGAAAGTAGAAAGTAAAGCCTGGGTGCCTTTCCAGTGCCTTCAGATCAATGTTTCCAAGTGCACATGAATCATCTGGGGATCTTGCTAGGCTGTAGGCCTGGGTGTGCCCTGAGATGACATGACTGTGTGGTTTCTCACAAGCTCCCAGATAACACCACATGGTGACCACATACCACACTTAGGACAGCAAAAGCTTAAGGGAGATTACAGGTGATGATAGCAAATTAGTTTTTCTACTTAATAAAATAACCAGAATTTCTTTCTCACACAAAAGAACACAATCACAGCTATCACCATCTCTGCTCGTCAGATATATTTAGTGAATCCAACACAGAAAACGAAACTGGCCAGTTAGCAGTGTGGCCCTCCGGCAAGAAAGGCCCAACATGGACACTACTCTTAGGAGCGAGCACACAATTCAATGCTTACCTTGATGGTGCCACTCCAACCAAATTTGGACCCAAGCCTCTGAAGAGTGACTTTGGTCCTTCCTTCTCCAAGATCGACCTGAATAATAAAAAGACATACTTTTAATACCCCTTACGGGAGGACTGTGCCAAATGGCGAAAAGTCAACTTTCACATCATTCCTTCAGATAATATAATGTTGAAGGAACCCTTACCCAACTCTACTACACCTGCAGGAGTAGGCCCTGAGTCTCATTTCCACTAACACATTGACACAGCCTGCTGCAAAAGCAATCACTGGACATATTTTCAACAAGCCTTTTCCCTGCTCCACAGGAGCAAGATATGGAGGGTTTGTGCTACATACTGAAATGCTCTGGTAAAGGGAAGTGTCCTCAATCATAACAACAGCTCAGAGATTTCTCTGGGTGGTATTTCTTTTGGAAATACCTCTTTATTTATAGCAGCATTATCTTATAGATCTTTGCCTATTGTAGCAGAGCCCGAAACAGGACAGAAGGAACAGAAAAGCCTACCAAGTTTCACGGTATATATGAAGGTTACTTAAAGCCAAACTCTAACCTCTTGAGTCCCCAAAATGATACTGTGATAAATTTTATTTATTATTTTTGGGTATCAGGGATTGAACCCAGGGGTGCTTAATCTCTGAGCCCCTTTTTATATTTTTATTTAGAGACAGAGTCTGGCTGAGTTGCTTAGGGCCTCGATAAGTTGCTAAAGCTGGCTTTGAATTTGTGATCCTCTTGCCTCAGCCTCCTGAGCTGCTGGCATTACAGGCATGCACCACCATTCTTTTCAAAACTGTACAAATATATATAACAAAGTATACCATCTTGGTCATTTTTAAGTAGACAGGTCAGTGGCACTGAGGACATGCACACTGTTGTGGAAGCAACTCCCCCGTCTACCTCCAGTACATCTTCAGCTGACACTTCCCACCAAACAGTCCTGCCCCCACTCCTCTCTGACCTGCCGTTCCACTTTGACTCTGCATCTGACCATTCCAGACACTCCCACCAGTGCAATTATATAACGTGTGTCCTTTTTGTGACTAGCTTATTTTACCTGGAATGTTTTGAGGGTCATCTATGCCCTAGCATCAGAATTCCCTTCTCCTTAGAGGTGTGATGACCTTCTATTGTTATATACACCACATTTTACTCATCCCTTCATTCATCAGTAGACACCAGAGCTCCTTCTACTTTCTGGCTATTGTGAGTAATGCTGCTATGAAGACAGGTGTACAAATACGGTATCTGTTCAAAATCCTGTTCTTAATACTTCTGGATTAATGGGTCAGAGGGTCACTCTAGGTTTTGAGGAGCTACCATGCTGTTTTCCACAGGGTCTGTGCTACCACACATTCCTAAGAGCAACGCCTAAGGCTTCTAATTTCTCCATAACCTTGACAATATGTTTAAAAAAAGTTAATTCGATTTCTGATTAAAAGAAACACAGAAAACCCTAAAATGGTACAGAACATTCTTAGACATTTTCCTACTCCAATATAGTAATTCAAGTTGGTTAAATTTATTAATTTCAATGGCTCAATCCAATAGAATTTACCTTATTTTTATTAATGCTCTTCTCTAATTTAATCTCCTTTCTGAGTACACCCACATACACGTATGCGCATGTGTGCGCACACACACACACACAGAGGACTGAATCTGGGGATAATCTACCACTGAGCTATATTTCCAGCCCTATTAATTTCTTATTTTGAGACACAGTCTCCTTAAGTTTCCTAGGCTGGCCTCAAACTTGAAATCCTCCTGCCTAAGTTTCCCGAACAGCTGGGTTTACAGGTGTACAACACCATGCCCCATTAATCTTTTCTTCTAGTACCTTCAATTGGACAGCATTCTATGTTGAACCAGCTCACAAATAATCACATCCTAGTCAAAGGGTTACATGCAATGTTTTACTTTCATTATGACACGCTGAAGGTATGATAAAAAGATATTTTTACTTCTATGCCAACAGTGAAGTGTTAACTCTATCTTTACCACTTCCATATTTCCATTTCCTCAAAACCAAGCAGAAATTTTTGGTGCAAGAGCGGTTAGGCTGATGTCTGCTCCATGGCACATGAACTGTGTTCAAGTCCTGTTCACCAGTAGCTTTTCTCCTTCCTCAGGTCACTTTTCATGCCCTAGATCCCCTCGATGAACCAATCAACCAAATTGTGAACCTCGGTTTCTCTCCTAATTTTTAGATGTTCACAAAATATTTCAACTGCTTAAACTAAATATTTATACCTTAAGATCTTTCCTAAAAAAAGGAGGCTAGCAATTAAAAAGAAAAAGGTTATTTGAATTAAAAAGAAAAAAACTAAAACTCTATTTATGGACAGAAGAATCTTATAAATAAAATATATGTTGGGGCTGGGGATGTGGCTCAAGCGGTAACGCGCTCGCCTGGCATGCGTGGGGCGCTGGGTTTGATTCTCAGCACCACATAAAAATAAAATAAAGATGTTTTATCCACCGAAAACTGAAAAATAAATATTAAAAAAATTCTCTCTCTTTAAAATAAATAAATAAATAAATAAATGAATAAAATACATGCATTCTGTCCATCTATAACTAAAAATATTTTTAAAAAATACGGGGGGGGGGGGGGCTGGCTGGGGCTGTAGCTTGGTGGTAGAGCGCTTGCCTAGCACAGGTAAGGCCCTGGGCTTGATCCTTAGCACTAAACAAAAAAATAAGTAAATAAAATAAAGTTATAAAACATATTTTAAAAATACTAGGGAATCCACTAAAAAAAGTAATATACCTAATAAATAAGTCCTGCAAGATTACAGGGTACAAGATCTGTATGAGAAAAATCAGCTGTTTTTCTACAAAGGAGCACTCTGAAACAAAATAAAAAAAAAAAAAAATTCGATGCTGGGTGCAGTGGTACCTGCCTGCAGCACTGGCTAGTTTGGAGGCTAAGGCAGAAGGATCATTTGAGCCCAGGAGTTTGAGGCCAACTGGGTAACACAGTGGGATCTGTCCTAAAACAACAACCAACCAAACAAAAAATCCTACTTCCATTTACAGTAGCATCGAAAGGAATAAAATATTTATCCCTAGAGACATGAACTAAATTAGCAGCTGCCAGGAAATTGGGGGGTGGGGGTGGGGGGATACTGCTAATGGATACATATTTCTTTTTTAAATATTCTGGAATTACATTTAGTACATTGAGAATATACTAAATCTTACTGATCAGCAGACTTTAAAAGGACAAATTTCATGATATGTAAATAATAATTATTTAAAAAAATAGTAAGAGAGACCTCAGTTCAATTTATGTAATCCAATTACTTAAAAAAATTAGAGACTGCAGTCTCATTTTCTAATCATAAAATTTTTCTTTACTGGTAGGCAGTGATGTCAGGACACTCAATAGTGTGGTCCAGACTAAACCCTTTGGTACAAATTCTGCTCTACACTGCCACATCTAGACCAGGGAACACATCTCACATTAGCGAAGTGGACATTTCATTTTTTTCTCCATGGCATCTGAGGAAGGTCAAATCAATGAGTTTAAAATAAGACCTGAGGGGCTGGGGATGTGGCTCAAGCGGTAGCCCGCTCGCCTGGCATGTGTGCGGCCCGGGTTCGATCCTCAGCACCACATACAAACAAGATGTTGTGTCCACCGAAAACTTAAAACAAAAAAATATTTAAAAATAAATAAATAAATAAAAATAAAATAAGACCTGACCATACAATGGAACACACTTCAACAGTAGAGAGGAAGGAAATACTGATATGTGCTACAGTAAGGATGAACCTCAAAAAACATTCAGCTAGATGAAAGAAGCCAGACCCACGAAGCCAACACACATCATTTGAATGTCAGGAGAAACAAATCTACAGACAGACAGCAGACTAGCATTTGGTTACCTGGGGCTGGGGCAAGAGATGGGAGGGTTGCAAACTGGTAAAGGATTTTATTTTAAGCTCTAAAATTAAATAGTGGTCATAGCTGTACAAAACTGAACATACTAACAACAGCTAGACTGAACTTTTTTTTGTTTTGTTTTGTTTTCTTAAAATGAACAGATGGGTCTTCTGCTGCTGCCTAAAGCCAGCCTATGACTCAAGTTATCTTCCCACCTCAGCCTCCCAAGTGGTCGGGACCAAGCACACAACACCACACCTAGCTGAACCACATGCTCTTGAATGGGCGGATTGTGTGGCATATGAATCACATCCTAATAAAGCTTTTTAAAACAATAAATAGCTGGGTGCGGTGGTATACGCCTGTAATCCCAGTGGCTCAGGAGGCTGAAGCAGGAGGATCACGAGTTCAAAGCCAGCCTCAGCAAAAGTGAGGCACTAAGCAACTCAGTGAGACCCTGTCTCTAGATAAAATACAAAGTAGGGCTGAAGATGTGGCTCAGTGGTGGAATCCCCTGAGTTTAATCCCCAGTACTCATCCCTCCCCTGCCCCCCAAAAAGGCCAGGCAAGGAGAGAGGAGGAAAAACTCACTGAAGAAAGATCTAGAGCAGGGGAGAAATGCTGTTGTAAAGCAAAATTTAGTTCTTAATCAGTTACTTATAACAGATTAAATGCTAAAACTGGAATATGGATTATAGAATATTAAAAAGTAGCATATCAATATGAAATTTCTTGAATTTGAAAACAACTATTCTCTCTTGGAAAATAAATGCTGGAGGATTAAGGGTAAAGGTGCAAGCCACATGGCACCCACTTTGAGATGGACAGAAAATAAATGTGTATAGCCAAAATCAAAGTGTGAACATTATCAAAATGTTAAAAATTGAATGAATCTAGGGACTGAGGTTGTGGCTCAGTGGTAGAGGCTGGCCTGGCATGTGTGAGGCCCTGGGTTCGATCCTTAGCACCACATATAAATAAAGAAATAAAGTAAAAAATCCACTGCAACTAAAAAAAAAAAAAAAAATTGGGTGAATCTATAAAAAGTTATAAGAAAGTTATCAGTACCATTCCTGTAACCTTTCTGTAAGTCTGAAATGATTTAAAAATAAAATCATTTAGGCTGGGAGTGCAGTTCAGTGGTAGAGTATTTGCCTAACATGTGAGGCCCTGGGTTTG